TTCTTCGGGCCGGAGCGGTTAGCGTGACATTGGATCAAGAAATGAATCTGATTCTAATACTAACTGTAATGAGTGGGTACTTGCCCGCTGATCAAAAAATTTAAGTTATTGGATAATGTTGCATATCCACCCATTTATACTCATTTTACTTCCTATTTGGATCCAACGTGGAACGGAACACCTTTAACAATATGTCACTAGGCTATAACCTATATTGGTGCAACATATACTAATATGTTTTTGAAGCAAAATATATACTATTAATCAATAATTATATAAATATAAAATTTAATTTAAACTATATAATAAAAAATGCGGTAATTATAACAATGTTAGATGGTAGATAGAACCGAATCGTTTATAAAATGATTTCTTATTTTTAGAACCGAAATTGGAACTACCAAACCGAAAAGTAATCCATTGATTTTTTGTACACCACTAATAATATTTGGTTCAAATTTTACTACGTCTTTTATATTGCTTACATCATTTAAAAATTGTGCATAAATTCAGTTGAAACATGTTTTCTTATTCTCTTTCGCATCTAGTCTTTTTCCCTCCAAATTCCGTTTATTAAAAATTGACCACTAACTTATTTTACTTGGACTCGATATCGAACATGAACATAAGTGTTTATTTATTAAATTCTCAAATTAAAGGATGCATAAAAATCACTAATTGTTCATCAAATAATATTTTTACATAACATATAATCAGCATACACATTTGATTTGTTTTGATTTGATTAAACATTTTCCAAGTAGTAGGATGTGTTCGTGGACTTATCATTATTATTAAGGTTTAGTGCAAAAAAACACCCTTATTATACACAAGATGTGCAAGAAACCCCCTATTGTTTCAATTTGTGCAAATAAGGACATTACATCAATTTAACAATTGAAATGTCTAAAATACCCCCATAAAAGAAAAAAACAAAACAATAATAAATAAACAAAATGTTTTCTCTCTCCTCTATTTATCTCCCCGTATCCTTCTATTTCCGGGATCATTTTTTTCGGTCACTTTCATATTTGCCGACAACTACCACCACCAAAGAGAGAAAGTGGAGCAATCTGAACTGCATGAAGCCTTGAGCAAACTAAACCCACTTCATAGGAACAAAAAAAAAAAAACTAAACCCATTTCAGCAAAGCTTCATGTAACGACCCAAATTCGTAGATCCGAATCGCTTATCGGGTCCCAACTCGACCTGAGGGCACCAAGGGCAAAATGGTCATTTTTTACCTCCCCATATTATAGGAGTCATAATGATGGCGCACTAATCGTTTCTAACCAAATCGGATCATAAAAGAGTGATAATCTCGACTACGGGCTCACTCTAGGTCCCTAGGTTAATAAGGGTAAAATGGTCATTTCATGTACAAATTATGGAATGGACTTACACCATTAAAAAGATAACTAAAAAACGTGCAAGTTGGACTCAAGAACGATCCTATTTAGGTTTAAAATGAAAAAGTTATGGGTATTCAAAGTTTGGAGGTAATTTATGAAAAATGGAAAATGGGGGATCGATCTCGTTTGGTAGGGGATCAATCGCCCACCATCTGGCATAACTCCAATTCTATTTTTTTTGGGTTGGGGGGGGGGGGGGGGGGGGTTGAATAGTTTCTATTCCCGAGCATAATTGGGTCATTTTGACTATTGAACACCTATCCCAACTTATGAAAATAATGTGTTAAAATATCACCATGCGTTAATATACATAGAAATTAACAACATAATGCAATGATTCACATAAGATCATTTTGAATGCATCCATCATTGCCAATATACTAATGTACGTCATTATCGTCATTTACATATCCCAAAAACATATATAAAGGTATTCTAAAAGAATATGGTTACATGGTTAAGGCCTTTGTGGCCACGAATACAATGTCTTCTATAGTTTCAACGAATAGTAGTCTCTTTAGAAAATAGTCGTCATAAACTAAACATTGATACAAAAACTACAAAAGATGAGTACTTCGCTTACGCTTACATTTGTGGAGGTGCGTCGTCCACTACATCCTTGCCGTGACCTGAAAAATATTAAAGGAAGGGGTGAACACGGAGGTTTAGTAAGAGATGCCTAAGATGCCAACTTTGGACTCTCTTGAGCCACACGTCACACATTGGGGATAAAAGAGAACCGGGATCATATATTAGGGATTTTATAAAACTTAAACCACATTTCAATCCAATCAATGACATAGATACAACTTTACACACTTTGAATGTAAATGCAATGTAATGCATAACCATTCCCAAGTGTCAAACCGACCCAAATCCTCACCTATGCAAACCAACTTTACCGAGGCGAGATTGATACTATCATTGGCCTCAATTTGATGACCATTTGGGGCTAGTACCAACGTTACACGTCTTACACCGGACCGCACTCCCTTTAAGTCAAGTTAGCACCGGGCTCGCGATACCCAGGCCATTTCTAAATTCCTCTTTCCCGCCCATTCTAGGATGGCTTACTTGTCAATCTATTCAACTTCCTCATCATTTTAAAATGCTAATGTCCTTCTCATTCAAATTCCCCACCATGCCTGGTCATTTTCATCAATTTTTCTTGCATAATAACAATGGCACAAACATGGCAATTTCTATGGAATGAATACAATCATAACATTCTCTAGAATTCAAGCACAGGCATTGCATTTTATTGAAACCAATCATAAGCATGCTCATCATATAATTTCATATCATCTAAATTCATGCTAGCATTTTCAATTTAAACAACTTTGCATTAAAGCCATTTTCTACACCTCTTTAGCAAAGAAAAAAACACATTTTCACCTTAATTACTAGCATGCTTTCTTAATATCAACACGTCATTGAAATTCACATTTTCACATCTAGAATAAATTTTAAAGTAATCAAAGTAAGGATATCGATATTCAATGAAAGACAAAGTTTGAGGCATTAGAAATCCCTACATTAATGTGCAAGCCAACAAGCCCTTAAGCTATCCAAACAAGCTCTTAGGACAACCCCAATTTCGAAAATCCTCCAAACCTTAGCATCAATAGTGTCAAAATATAGCCTTTTCCAAGTAGAATAACTCTCCCTTCTATGGTTTTAGTAAAAACTCACCCTAATCATCTCAAATCTTGGTTTGAACATTGAAGACATATAGTTGTATATAGATATAGAAAGAGAAAGAAAATAGATAGAGAGAGAAGAAGGATGGTCGAAAAATGAAGAGGAAATGGGGTTTGGTCCTTGTCTTGCAAACACATGAATGATTCTCGTTGAGCCACTTGTCAACACATTGATGGTTACTAACATTTAGCAAAGTTACTCCTTTGCCCATTCACTTTCATTGTATTGCCAACTAAATCCCCAAAATATCTACCTCAATGTATACTTACATATATTTGTATATGTGAGTGAAATGCCAATAAAGCCCCTCAATGAAAATGGTAAAACTGGCAGAAGTTCCTGAACCCGGGAATCGTCCTCACTTCCGAAAATTTCTAAAATTAATCTCATCGCCTCTAATTGACTTAAAATAAATAAAAATACATTTCTAAAACTCTCGGCTTGATAAATGACATAAATGGCATTCGGGGCCAATGTGGCACGCAAAACGAGGCATGAAAAAAATTTAAAATAAAAATTCAAAAAAATCTAGAAAAATCAGGGACATTACATTTCAATTCCAGTTCTAATCTATTAATCAATCACCATTTTGGAAGACAACCAACAGTGAGCTTCTAAGCTCTACATGAGACCCATGCCTACCTAGCTGATCCAAATGACGAAGACAACCAACAACAACTCCAACCTCCAAGCAACTACAAGCTCACATGCTTGTGTTAACACTCCAAGTTTCGGTGACACCCTTGTCCACATAGATGATCCAAATGGTGAAGAAAAACCAACGGCACCGAAGAAAGCATTAGAGACCCATTTATATGAGCTCCTAGCTTCGGCAGAACTAGCTTGCACCGGCGAGCACCATTTCCAAAAATTACAGTACTGCTCCGGTGAGTTACTTTTCGGTGATGTGAAGCTCTAAAGAAACAAACAGTTCCATTGAATCTTCGGTGACTGCAAAACCTTCAAGTGATGAGAAATATCTAAGTTCAGTAAGCTCACTTCGGAGAGCGCAGAAACAGTTTCAACAATTGAACTTACCGGTGAGAGAATATGGAATGTTCTTACTGGCGAGCTCGGAGAATAGCGAGCTCAAAGCGGCGGCAAGGAATGACGGCTAGGCTAGGATGAACTTTGGTGAATATGCGAGGACATAACCGATGACGAACGGCGGGCAATTAAGTATGGATTGAAGTTATCAACGGTGAAGCTGCGGTGATGACGAGCTTGGTGATTGTTTTCCAAATCGATAGGAAAACTCAGGATATTCTGGCGGCAAATGGCGGCTAATCTGATGATGGCGAATCAGTGTCACGATTTTCGACTAGTCTAATGATGGTTGAGTTCTGAACTCCAACTGCAAGCTTCACTGCCAGCCGAATTGGCCTTTTTCGAGTGGAGATAGACGGTTTTAAAGAGAGAGAAAGGATGGAGAGAAAAAATAAAATAAAATAATTGCTTAAGGGTAATTTGGGTTTTTTAATAAAAATATTTAGTCAAAATTGATGATCAAGTGAATAATACATAGAGTTATATACAATTTTTTTTTCTTCTTCTAAAAGGAGTGTTTCTTGCATCAAAGTGGATCTTTCAACGAACTGAACAAACACGAAGAGGAAATGAACTTCAAACAATTTGTATTTCACTTCAAATGCCTTCATGTATCTTGTATCCCGTGCGGTATTTTTTGCACTTAACCCTTATTATTATTTTTAAGATATAAATTATTCTCCAATCTTATAAATTTATAATCTGTTCTTAGTGCAGCATCCGACTCAACAACATAGGGCCATGGTTCTAACCCGTTACCGTCTAACTCGAACCCGAAAGTAACCCGACCTGCGGACGCACTAGCAATAAAGCGGGAGGGTTTTTAGGGCTTCTCAAAGCTTCTACTTCAGTCTGCTCTCTCTCTCTACCTCCTCTCTCTCTCTCTAAAATTCAATCTCATTTGTGGTTGATTTCGCCGGCGATCTGAAGTATCACCGGCGTTATAAAGATAACAGTGGAAGTACATAGGGATAAGTGAAATGGCTTTGGCTTTCGATGAGTTTGGGAGGCCATTCATAATCATAAAGGAGCAAGAAAAGAAGACCAGGTTGAGAGGTCTCGATGCTCAGAGAGCCAACATTTCCGCCGGTAAAGCCATCGCTCGCATCCTCCGCACCTCCCTCGGCCCCAAGGGCATGGACAAGATGCTTTCCAGCCCCGACGGCGAAGTCACCGTCAGTAAGTATATATATACACATACATAAATAATCTACTTCTTTATATGTTTATATGTTCGATATTTGAAGCTGATTTATGTTGCTTGCCATTCTGCATGAATGAACTTACAGATGCTTTGTTAGTTGTAATCAATTAGGGTTTTGAAGTTTGATCTAACTATAAATTTGGTGTTAGTATTTATGTGTTTGTACTTATAAAAAAAAAATTTATTTATGTGTTTGATATTTGGAGTTCGTTATGTTGATGCTTTGTTAGTTGCAGTCAATTAGGGTTTCAAGTGGGGATCTAACTATAAATTTGGTGTTGCAAAGATTCACGGTTCTTCTTTGATTTTTATTATTGTTATATGTATATATATAATCTCTCTTTATGTATATATATTTATATGTTGTATATTTGGAGCTGATTATGTTGCCTGCTATTCTGAACGAATGAAATTACAGATGCTTTATTGGTTGCTGTATAATAGGGTTTTGAAGTGTGGTCTGACTATAAATTTGGTGTTGGGTAGATTTACTGTTCTTTTTATTATTATTTTTTTGGTATTTCATTATTGATTTATTGGTTGCTCTTGTATTTTGTTGATTGTTCCCATGCTACTTTTTACCATTGGATCATCAGCTAGTGGGGCGAAAGAGTTAAAAAAAATTGGTTTATGTAAACTAAAAAATCAGTTCTCGTTAATTGTCAGAGGGATACATGGAATAATTAACAATTATGTTTTTTGTTGTTTGTTTCTTTTATTTTGCTTTATTGGGTATGCTAAATGCAGTTAACTATTGGACAAGTATTTATTGAAGTGCAAAGATTTAGCTGCATAATTGAGGTGAGTGAAGATGGGAAAGGAATGTTTGGACCATAAACATATTGATTAAGCATGGTAGCCAAGAAATCGTAAAAAATTATAAATATAAATACAAGGATTAAAGCTAGTGTAAAGAACATTTTTTTTTTTTGTAGTAATTTGTTTGTCATTATCATTTTAAAATGATGAACTCCTCCTCCTTTATGAAGTAAAGTTAACAACATGTCAGCAAAACCATCGATTTTATTTTTCTTTCTTGGGTTTTGAGTTTAGTAATAGAAGTTTTTGATTTTGTATGCTGCCTCTGCTTGCAGACTTGACTCTTGAGTAGCTGGTCTTATGATTGCAGTTTACTATTAAGATTTTTAAAGTACAACCAAAAGCCTTGTTTGCATTGAGAACTGTTGTAAACTAATTGAAGGATACCTAATAACTGAGATTTGTGTTGGTGGTTAATCAGCACATATACCCCAGCACATAAATGCAGGTATTTTTTGGATGTGATTGTGGATATAAAAAATTGCTCATAACTTCAAATGTTTGGTTTGGCTGAAAGGTTGTGCAATGCACACAGTGGGGCACTGCATGGATCTCTCTTTCTATTTCTCTCTCTTTCTCTGTCCAATTTTATTTTTTTTGGGTGTGGTTTACACTGTTTAAATTAAGTGTGCTACTTTGCATGAGCATGAAATAGCAGAAGATTATTTCAAAAAGTTTTGCTACCCATTTTGACAACTCCTTGCACGGGAAATGTGACTCTTCCATAAGTGTAATTGCGTCGTCATATTACTGCCGGTGTGCATTAAATTTTTATTTTTATTTTTGAAATTAAACCACTTTTTTTTTTTTTTTTCCCACCCGACAGTGTACGTACTTTGGATATGTAAAAGACACCTCATATATGTTCTGAAGCTTATAACTTTATTTAACACCCCAATTTCTCTTGTCAGTACTTCATTGTTATGTTTTCATCAGCTACCTCTTAGTGCATCGGTTGGTTTTAGCCTATATAGGCTATATTGCATTCATTAAAAATATATTTGTCCACCTACAGACCCCCCTCTTTCCCCCCAACCACACAAAAACAAGAGAAAATAAGAAAGAATAAAAGACGAGATATTGTATTTGTACAGTAAACTTATTCTTCGGTTTGAGCTTCCCTCACTTTTGTTATTTCGACGTTTTCTGTCAGCAAATGATGGTGCAACAATCTTGGAGCAGATGGATGTTGACAATCAAATTGCGAAGCTGATGGTCGAATTATCACGGAGTCAGGACTATGAAATTGGTGATGGAACAACTGGAGTTGTAGTGATGGCTGGTGCACTTTTAGAACAGGCTGAACGGCAGTTAGAACGTGGTATTCATCCTATCCGGATTGCGGAGGGCTATGAAATGGCTTCAAGAATAGCTGTTGAACATTTGGAGCATATATCACAGAAGTTCAATTTTGATGCCACAAACATAGAGCCTTTGGTTCAAACTTGCATGACTACTTTATCCTCCAAGATGTAAGTCTCCTCCCCGCTCCCAACTGCTTTTTATTTCGTTCTGTCAACAAAACACTTATTTTTTATTTATAAATATTTGGCAGTTATTTGCTTTCATACCCTCTTGTGCATGCTCATTGCTATTCATAAAGGCCTTTTGCTTTTTTGTTCTAGTTTGTGTTTACTCTTGTGTATCTTCTGCAATTTCCATGCTTGTTCTCTTTTCCATATTCTATTAATTAAATTTTGGTAAAAATATGTTTTCTGTTTGCGGCTTGCGTGCTTTCGAAAATTACATGGTACTGCTTACAATTCGTGGATTATGAATGTGCATTGTAGCATATTTTTTTTTGTGTCGACTATAATTACAGTTAAGTCTAATGGTTATTAAATTGGTCAAACTCACTAACTCAGGAAGCTTGAGGACAAGTATTTGACATTGATTTATTTCATGTAGGTAAAATTTATAAACAAATCGTGTAATTTTTAAAATTTCATTCTTGACATGTCTTTTATCTCACACTAGCTTGAGCTCTTCTCATAACTGGCCTTTGTTTTTTATTCTATTTTATTTTATTTTAAAAATAGTTTGAAGAACACAAGAGGTTTCCCTTCTGAGTTTTTATTATTCATACTAAATATTCTAAATTAATACGGTTCTTATTTTCAAGTGATGGGTTTAGCCTCTGTGAATATTGGTCTTCCAACAATATTTAGAGAAATTTGTTTTCTAATATTAAATTTTCCGAAGATATGCGACCAGGGCGGAGCAGGGCTAGACTGGCTAGTTGAGGGTGGGGCACTTAGAACGGGGATGGTGAAGAGAGGTTTTTCTAAACGGGGCTTGGCGGGGCCAGGAGGCACATATGACGTGTTTTTATTGGGGTTGGGGTGGGGAAAGTGGGTTCCATCTGATTCCCACCACATTTTCATCTCTGCTTGTTAATAGAAGTCAATTGAGTCCTTCAGTTATTGTTGGAATGGTCCCGGCTTAAACATATTTATCTGATTGTAGTATTACATCAACCATTACAGATAGTTATATCTTTTTCTTTGTTTCAGTATTGTGATTCAGTTCCTTTGGATCTTATATTGCAGTGTGAATAGATGCAAGCGCAGTTTGGCTGAGATTGCTGTCAAAGCAGTTATGGCTGTTGCAGATTTAGAGAGGAAGGATGTTAACTTAGATCTTATTAAAGTGGAAGGGAAAGTCGGTGGGAAGTTGGAGGATACAGAACTAATTTATGGAATCCTTGTTGATAAGGATATGAGCCATCCACAGATGCCAAAGCAAATAGAAGATGCAAAAATTGCTATACTGACTTGCCCCTTTGAGCCACCTAAGCCAAAGACAAAGCATAAGGTTGACATTGATACGGTGGAAAAGTTCCAGACTCTACGTGAGCAGGAGAAGAAGTACTTCGATGATATGGTCCAAAAATGCAAGGTAGAATTGCAGCTTAAATTTTATGGATGTTTGCCTATAATATATAAAATAATAATGTCACTTTACAGTGCAATTTACATATCTTCCTTTTAGATTGTATTCATATTTTTATTCTCATTGTGGTTCTGGTTGATTTTGTTCTTCTATGGAATGTCATAATGACTTTATTCTATTATAAAAATAGTAATATACAAGCTTATATTAAACCTAGGTTCACTGCTGCAACAATTAAAATGCATTATCTAGGGCAAGTTTTCCAGATTACTGTAGATTTGGGTTGATGAGGGACCCGATTTTCCTCACAACCTGGCTCTGTCTGAATTTCAGGATGTTGGTGCTACCTTGGTTATCTGCCAATGGGGGTTTGATGATGAAGCAAATCACTTGTTAATGCATAGGAACTTGCCTGCTGTCCGATGGGTTGGTGGCGTAGAGTTAGAGCTGATAGCAATAGCCACAGGTTTGTGTTAAATGAGCTTTTTAATCATTAAATATTTTCTATCTCTTGCTCGTACAATTATATTTCCCTTTCTACTTAGTACTTACAGTTGTATTGATGTCTTGTTTGTTTAGGTGGGAGAATTGTGCCGAGGTTCCAAGAGTTGACGCCAGAAAAACTGGGCAAGGTAGTTTTGTTAATTCTCTTCTGTTTTCCTATTTATGTAATTCAAGGTGCCTTTCTCTTATTACCTTTTTTTTTTTTTCGTGTGTGTGTGTGATGAAGATGAATAAAGTTTATTATTTTCGGCTCCAAATCGTAGATGGGCTGCACTACCAGATTGATGGTTGCCACCTATGAAAATGGATAATACTGTGTTCAACTAGGACATTTTTTTTTTCATAAGACATTTAGGGTAAAAACTAGGCGTACCATGACAGATTCCAAAATCAAACGGTTTGTCCAGTTAGTAGGTTGGTTTAATGATGAATTTGAAATTCTAGGGAACTTACACATCACATATTTCTCCTTTATCATAAATTTGGGTTATCTTTTAAAAAATTCAATCTTAGTCATTGTGCAGCATAATTGGTTCTAAATTTCAAATATGGATTCTCTTATGCTTATTTTCAAGTTTTATAACTTCACACAACTTGCTGTCAATAAATTACTTTTGTTATTTCTTTCAAGGGGAAATGTTTTGCTTCATCAAATGGCCTATCCATCCCCATGTTCTTTGTTTTTGCTATAATGCTCCTTACGGATAGGGCTGCAAACGAGCCAAGCTTTCGACAAGCAGCTCGAGCTCAGCTTGTTAAGGGCTTGGTTAGTGTTCGTTTGTTTAATAAACGAACCAAGCTCAAACAGAATTTTTGTGTTCGATTAATAAGTGAACCAATCTCAAACACCCCTCTACTCAGCTCGTTAATTCGTGAACATGTTCGTGAACAAGCTCGCTTATAGGCTTGATTTAAGCTCGTAAATATGTATACTACATACATGTATATATATGTATGTACTTATATACTATATAACTTCAAAAGTTTGGGCCTTACATTTTCTTTTTCACTTCAAAGTTTTAGCCCATCCAAACCTAGCCCGATCCAATCCATATAAAAGTAGAACCAATCATTTTAAAAATTTAAAAAGACCATACCCAATCAAATTGAAACAATCCAAACCCAAGCCCACACTCTGAAGCCCATCTATATAAATCCTTCAACCCTCATATCCCCTCATGTCATCCCAATCCTAGCCGCAGCAGCTGCTACTTCCATTTCACTTTTCTCTTTCACTTACGCTTCCCCTCATGTCTCTCAATCCAAGTCATCACTCAATCCAAACGCAGATCCATAGTTTCAACTTGTTTTATTTCGATAGCTCCTCCTCCTCCTCCTCATCATCATCATCATCATCATCATCATCATCATCATCATCATCACCACCACCACCACCACCACCACCACTTTTACAGAAATAGTTTTGCACCCAAAAGATCACTAGTAAGTTTTCACACATTATATATATAGATCTTTGTAAATTTGTACTCTAATATATATATATATATAGGTTTTAAATGTTAAACGAGCTTTTCTGGGCAAGAAAAAAAAAAAAAAAAAAAGAGCTTCGAGCTCGGCTTGAATCGCTCTTGAACGGCTTCGAGCTGAGCTCTAACACTGTATTGCGAGCTCGGCTCGAGCTCGAGCGGAGCTCAAACACCCTTTTCTAACAGCCCAGCCGAGCCCAAACTGCCCACTACTCGGCTCGGCTCGTTTACAGCCCTATTTACGTAGTCTTCTTTGGTTGCTTATTTATTTATTTATATTTTATAATCATGAAGCTTGGGCTTGAAGTAAAAAAGCTCACCTTCTGCACTTAGCTTGCCCCCCCCGGCATCTCCTTCCTTTCCAATCTCATTGTGCACAGACACACAAAGTACTGCAAATGTGTCCTATCCCTGAACCATAGGGGACACATTTATCTGATATATTGCAAATAATAGTTGATGAAGGTATGCAGTTGCAGATAAGAAGTGCTCGTTGCTCAAGATAACATTGTATTGTGTGCACGCTCTTTATGCAATGAATGCCATCTTGTTGTATCGTGTTTAGAACATGTGGGAATTCTGACATCTGATTCTATCATGGTCTACAACTCTTATGAATATATCATTCTAATCTTGATTATTGTCAGAGTATCCCGTGCTTATTATGTTGAAGCAGCATATAATCTGCTGCATTGCTTCATCTTAAACTCAGTTTGATGTTTGTTAATTTATCTGTCTCTGTGTCGCTTCATCTTAAACTCAGTTTGATATTTATTAATTATCTCATTACACTGCATTTTTGCACAAAATGAACCATTCTTATATATATATTCTTTTGCTCGTTTTAGGCTGGTTTGGTTCGAGAAAAATCATTTGGAACCACAAAAGATCGAATGCTTTATATTGAACACTGTGCAAATTCAAGGGCTGTAACCATATTCATTCGTGGCGGTATGTTTATATCCTTCATTCTATTCCGGTCACAATCATTTTCTTTTTGGCTTATTATATTTGTTGGAACTAAATATTTTGTATGATACATGTTCTAAATACAGTTTAGAATGATATCTGCCTTATACTTGTGCTTTTAAAAAAATTATATTGTCTTCCTGGTTATGATATTTGTAATTTCATACTTTTTATATGTAAATCTGTCTGACGTGTAGGACTGGTTTGGGTTAGTCAGTTTCCTCATTCTTAAATAATAAATGGTTTAGCATTCTCTCTCAAGTCTTATGTTTAGCCCTAAGGTATGGCACTATATAATTGAATGCCAAACAGTTAATTAAACTTTTTCACTTGCGTTTCAAACCACTTTTTCTGAGGTGTATGAAATACTAAAAAGAATGGAACATCTTGTGCATTCTCATTTTATGAAGCATTTTATTGCATTCCCTACAAACTTTATCTGGAAATGTGAAGTATATATTGGAACTTGATCAGGAAAAAAATATTTATTTTTGGTTTTCCTTTGGAAGCCAGATAAAAATTTACATTGCTTCCAGTTTTGGTGTGGTGATTGATTGCTGAAGTAATAATGTCTTAGTGTCCATGACTTGGCGTGAACCATATAGAAGATTTTGCAGTCTTGACTGTTAACAACTTAAGTCTACCGTGGATACCTCTATAAGGCAGTCGTATGCCCGTAGCCATATCAAATATTAATACGCTCCTTGGATTCTTGTGGATAGATTTTCAATACTTCCCAAACCTATCCATACTCTGAAAAAAAAAAAATCTTCATTTTAAGCATGTATCTCACACTTCTCAAATACTTCAAGGCACACATATGATGCAATTTGAATAATAAAATGCAGCATTTACCAGAGAAGAATTATTGTTAATAATATCATGGTGTGATTGTTAGAAATGGACACAAAGGGGTTTCGGATACTTAGTCTTTCTTAGAGAAGAATATAATGTATAATTTCGTTCAGAGTCCATAATCATGCAACATAATTTATATTAATTTAGAAATATGAAATATGGTAGTAGCACTGTTTTGTCATACTTCTTTTTATAAAGAAATGTTAGTCATAATACAGGTATATAACATGATAAATAGTTATGGTACTAAATTTACACTTGATACATTTTTTTATTTTTTATTTTTTAAAACTTAACAAAGAAATATGGTACTAATTTATATGGTACCTAAATGTTTTAATTTTAGACATATTTACATTCAAACAATCTATAAATACATGAATACATCGAATCACTTCGTCTATTGAATTGTGTCCTTATTCCGTATCTGTGTCCATGCTTCATGAATTCAACATATTAGAAATGCTCGTATTGGCATTATTTATTGTAACTTCTTGTTTTGTATTTGGACAAACTATCTGATGGCATATTTGGTTCTTAGTTTGAATTAAGATCGGATGGCCTTCTCTAAGTCATTCTTTTATCTTCTGAAATAAAATTGTCTGGTCATTCTTTTCCTCATTAAGCAACTTGGGATAAAGTATCTATCTACATGCTTATTCAATCTAACACATGAAAGCCAAAAGAAATTGGACATAAACATGGAAAAAGTGTAAATTGACAGTATAAGAAAAAAGATAAAGACCAAAAGAAAAATGGGATTATGGCGCCAAAGTAGAAGCAATCTTGAATGTATGCAGAAGAACTTAAATTGGGTTCTGTTATTTGATGTTGCAATAGGTAACAAAATGATGGTAGAGGAGACTAAGCGCAGCATCCATGATGCATTATGCGTGGCAAGGAATCTCATTCGCAACAATTCTATTGTGTATGGCGGCGGCTCCGCTGAGATTTCTTGTTCAATTGCTGTGGAAGCGGGTGCTGATAAATATCCTGGAGTTGAACAAGTACCAAGATTACATTTCTTTTTCTTTCTTATCGTTTTCATTAATGAATGTTAGGACTTAGACCTTTTCCTTTCTGTATGCAGTATGCCATTAGGGCGTTCGCAGATGCCTTGGATTCTATTCCCATGGCACTTGCCGAAAATAGCGGTCTTCAACCCATCGAAACATTATCTGCTGTGAAATCTCAGCAAGTCAAGGTAATTTGAACAAGCTTGTCACTTTGGTCTGGGGCATCTCTCTCTCTCTCTCTCTCTCTCATGTTCTTACCATTTGAGCGGTATGATCTTTTAAAAGGCTGGTAATGATAATCATTTATCTGAGCATCATTTTGAATTCAATATGCAGGAGAACATACCCTGGTGCGGGATAGACTGCAATGACAATGGCACAAATGACATGCGAGAGCAAAATGTCTTTGAGACACTAATAGGGAAGCAACAGCAGATAATGCTTGCAACACAAGTTGTGAAGATGATTCTAAAGATTGATGATGTTATCTCCCCTTCTGATTACTGATATGTCAGGTACTTATTGCCAAGTTTTGCTTCGCGTAAATGGTGGCCACATTATACTGTCGGCTCATATGGCAACTCAATTCACTTAGCCCACATGTTTGTGGGGGGGTGAAACTTCTTCATACGTCTCATCTTGTCTCATCCTGGGTTTACTTTATTGTGTTATTATATGATTCTGTATGGTTGATACACTTGATTTTGTTTTACTTTTTGACATTTATAAATCTGTTGTTGGCTGTTGCACTTTCTGTCAGCTTCTTTTTAGTGACATATTAACAGATTTAGAAGAGTGGAAAATTTTCTTTGATTATTTATATATTTGGTATTTTTTTACCTGAGAAAGTTAGATTAGAGTTTGCTATAGCACAAGAATGTACTTTCACTCTCTCACACGCACCCGCACACGCACTGTGACCTCACATTCTGGTTCTTGCATCCTATAACAGTAGGATTTCCCCACCCTTTTCCTTTCTTTAGCAGGAGCTCACGTAGGTGATGTTAGCAAAGTAGCATAGCATAGAATTTACATGGTAGGAATGGACGTTGAAAAACCGTTGTCAAGTGGGTGCTGATGGTCCCTAATGTCCGTTAATAATAAAATTCTAATAAACTTGATATATGCGCGAGAGAATTGGGGGTCCCTATGTTTCTTAAGGGCAAGTGGTGTAGTAACTTGCGCAGCAGGTACAAAGCAGATGGTGATGGGTCCTTATGTATCTTAATAATGTAGTAGTACTAGCTTTCGTTCCTTTCGAACCAGATACCATGGTTCATGGTTGGGGAAACCGGCCGAGGACACGAGAGGACGAGAACCGTAACAGTTTACTTCATTTAGAGTTGGATGGTACAATCTGCAAGTTAATAGGGCTTCTTGATGTACATTTTGGTACATCATGCCTCTGCTAAGAGAGATGCTAGAGTTTTTGTCTCCATTAATAATGTAGTGATAGTAGTACGTAGTGCCTAGTGGGCCCTTGGGTGCCTAATAGTTATTATCTTGGCCCCGCCAGTTTAGACTTGAAGGAAGATATGTTGGAATAGAACTAGAAATTTTTGTCCTGAAGAAACCACCACCACCACCACCACCGACACTTCTCTAAGCAAAGCATTATTTTTAGCAATTTGTGGGTGAGAAATTTAAAACAATAATTCTAAGGTCGGTTGTTTTTGAAATATATAAGATGCCATCTAATTTTCCTTTTTTTTATTGGAATTTGATGGCTCTGGCAAAAGTGTTGTCCTATGTTATTTCAAATGCTTGGTCAATACATTTAAAAAGTTTTTTTTCTAAAAACTTAATAAATAAAATGGACACATCTCCAAATTGTCCAACTTATTTTGAAGAAAAGTTATCATGCATATTGTTGTCATAACCAAATATACACTTATTTTAACCAAAAGATGAAAATATAATTGTAACCATTGAAGTACATAGAAAAGTAATAGTAGAATTATATAAAATTATACTTTTGCCAAACAAATGAGCTGAGATGTGCACAAAATTATATGATAAAAGAGATTTCTGACATGGTGAATTAGTTGAGATATGCAATAAAATTATCTAATAAAAAGTATTCGACAAAGAATTTAATATTTTATTTTATTTATTAAAAATGATTTTTGTTAAGATTTTTGTCAACAATTCTTGACAAAATTACGTCTCTCGTGAGATTTTTGACATGGTGAATTAATTGAGATATGCAATAAAATTATCTAATAAAAAGTATTCGACAAAGAATTTAATATTTTATTTTATTTATTAAAAATGATTTTTGTTTTTTTCACTGTAAGATTTTTGTCAACAATTCTTGACAAAATTACGTCTCTCGTATTTGTATCGAGTTTAACATTCTAATAATAAACGAAAATTAGAATCCAATTGCTATTTTACACATTACCTTGTGTCTGGAATGAGACAATATAATATATTAGAAAAAGTTATCATAGCTTATGTTACAAATGTGACTACCACCTTTATATATAGGCACTCTGGATCAAAATGCATTAACAGCCATGGTTAAGATTTAGCTTCTAGAACCCTTCATCTTTTACAATCTTCTCCAATTTATGAATTTCTACAAATTCATCAATGTTCTGGAATACACTACACCACACTCTATAGTTTCTTATTATTTCTGGTTGATTGAATGTTTAATTTAAGAAGCAAGAAATAAGAGGGACGCATCTCCAGACATTTCTTTAAGAAAGTTACCATACACAGTCATCACCAAATATACACTAAAAAAAAAAACTAGAAGATGGGAATATGATTGTAACCATTAAAATACATAGAGAAATAGTAATAGAATTACATTAAAAAAATAAAATTTTAGGTTACTCGTATGGCGAGCTAAACCCGAATGAGTGACCTAATGAATAAGGAGTGTCAACAGTAAACTAACTTGAAATCTATAATACAATAGTGTGACCCCCATGATTTCTCTACCAGAGGTACATGTACCAATGTTTTGATTCCAAAATAAAGAGCAGTCTAATTTTTCTTGTATTTAAGAGCAATGGAGGGCGTTTCATTGATACAGAGCAGTCATGTGGAGTCACAGTGATCACATTTATGATTTTGCATATGAGAGGTGACTGTGTCGTGTGATAACTAGGTTTGGTAGTGTGATTCATGGCACAACTTGGTTGTCTTGTTGCATCTTGAATGCTACTAGTATTTTTAAATTATTATTATTATTATTATTATTATTTTCAAAAAAATGCTGCTAGTATTATTTGTGATAATTGGGCCCACCATATATATCTACTTTTTCAATGAATGTTGTGGGTATAAAGTTTTAATTCTAGTCCCCAGAAGATGGTCCTATTAAATGACAAAAGCTACAGCCATTTGCTGCTTTATCTTCTGCTACATTGACATCCATGTACCATCCCATGTGAAGGGAACCCCCTATGGGATCCCACACACACAGTGACACACACAGTAATCATATATCTCTATCAACATTTCATAACGTTATATTACAAGAAATTTTTATTTATCAACACTTAGCTTCTCTTTTTTCTTTAGAACCCTATTAGGATTCTAACACACTTACACACACACACACATATATAATTTCTAAATGATTCTTTAACAGGTCGAGTTTGTAAACATAAAAGCAAAGGAAAAGAATTGACAATGAGAATAAAACAAAAGAGAACTATAAAATTTTACAAATTACAATTTCTTAGTAAAGGCAATTAATTGGCCTATTATTATTTCTTCCCTATGTTTTGTGGTTGCTGATACTTCTTGATAGTACTTCAGCAATGCGAGCCCTTCTTGCACCTAAGTGCACCTGCTCCCAGTGTTATCGAGCTCACGAGCGACGACGGTCTTGCACCCAAGCTCGACGCCTTGGCATAACCGGACGACGTTTCCGCTCCCGATGCTACGAAGAAGGCGCCATTCAACATTAGATCTCCTTCTGACCTCCAATTCCATTTTCTCCATTCACCCTCCGGTGCATCCTCGTGTTTGGTAACCTAGAAACCAAATGTTAAATGTCAAATAAGTTTGTCCTAGAAAATATTAGTAGTGCAATTAATTTAGTGGCATGAATAGTTATGTCACCAATGGGCCGGTAGATTAGCGGTTTCAGCCTCTTACTTTCTAAAAGGAGGTCAGGGGTTTAAATGTCAATAGAGACATGTGTGTGTGAGTACCAATTATGAAAAAAAAAAAAATGAATAATCATGTCCAACTAGTTGGGTCATCAAGTTAACCGAAGTCCCATCAAACCCTTAATTTTCACATGTTTATAAGCACTGAATCAGCGTCTTAGATTTCAAAACGCAGACAGAATGGATTATAAGTTTGTCAATTACATGAATAGTCATGCCCAACTAGTTGGGATTGTGATTGTCCTATCTGGGTCATCAAGTTAAACGAAGTCCTGTCAAATCCTTGATTTTCACACGGTTATAAGCACCGAATCAACGTCTTGAATTTCAGGATGCGAATAAAATGAATGGGATTCTCACCTGTTTGTTGAACCTGTCATTGGGAGCTAGAAATCTATTCCCTTGGCTGTTGATGGTAGGATCGGCACTGCCACCAATTGCATACTTTTCCCAATGAGTATAGTCATTGTTCACCACATGAAAATACCCATGTCTACATCTGAGAACAAAATTAGAGATAGCTAGGCATCAATACCTTGACCCCACTTAAAAACCTAATTGAAATAAATGCTCAACAAGTAGTAATAAAATAAAATAAAATAAAAATTAAATTGAGACATTGTTAGGTACACTACTTTTAATTCCTTTTACCTTGGCATTCTTTGTACAAGCCCTTCACCAAAATGGTTGAATGCTATGGTCACCTGCATGTTCTTGTCCTGTGTGTAGGTATCACTATGTCCCAAGAGCATGACCTTGTCATGGTGTGTCATGAAGTTGTTTGAGATGGTGATGGCTGTGGATCCATGAATGGCGTCAATCAGTCCATCATTGCAGTTGGACAGAGAATTGTGATCAACCCAAACATGGCTCCCTCCGAAAATCGACACCCCGTCGCCATCCGAGATCGTTCTCCACCCATAATGGTGAGGGGAGTTCCTCACGTTGGCATTCCCTCCTTGCTTACAGTCATGTATGTTTAGGCCGTGAATGATGATGTTCGTCACGTATTGTATGGTAATGCATGGCCCGCCGGCGATGTGGACGCTCGCGCCGCGACCGTCGATGGTCTTGAATGAGTTCATGATGAGCTCTTCCTTCAGCTGGATCACCATGTCACGTTCAAAAATGATCCATAGTGGCTCATCTTGGATGACAGCATATCTTAGTGTGCCTGGCTTGGGTGTGACAGCGTCGTCATCGCTGGAGTCCGTGACCACGTAAATTCGGCCATCTCTTCCTCCAATGGCCTGCTTACCGAACCCGATCGCGCAATCCGCTAGGCGTTGCCGGTTCTTCTCCCAATTGGGGTCGCACCGCCAGCAGTCATCGATCGGGTTTCCGGTCCCGCATGAGAGAAAACCTAGATTTCTTCTGGATGCATTGATTTTCCTGTAACAAAAAAAAAAATGTACCAAGAAAATAAGTTGTCACATTGCTAGACTAGTATGTGAACTGTGTGTTAAGCAAGTAACAACGTTAGTGAAGTGTCATACTCGTGTACTTCTTTTACAACTAGCTCAGGGTCTTGAACTGGTGAAGAGGAAATGGAGATTGGAGCTAGTAGAGAGAGAAAAAGTATAAGAAAGAGAGAGACAGACATCTTTGATCCTGTCTTGTTTGGAGAGAGAGAGAGAGAATGTGTGAGGAAGTTGCCTGGAGATGGGATTAATATATAAGGGAAGAAGCCTTTGAAAGGGGTGATTTAATAATAATATACTGGTACCCCACTTGTCTCACCAATTTCGGATTTTAAGGGGCCCAATTTGGTAGTTTGGGTAGTTACAAGCTTCAGAAATTTCCCATGTTCTTGTTAATTTTCGCACAGAGATATATTATATAAAATCAGCAATGTTTTGGGGTTTGTTTGTTTTAGTATTTCGAGAACAATTTTTATTTTTTAAAAAATTAAACATAAAAAAGAATTGTAAAAAATATATTTGGTTAACAGTTTTTCAAAACCTATATATATATATATATATATATATATTTTTTTTTTCATAGAAGTGCTTTCATAATCATCCGAACTGTTTTTTCAGTTCTTGATAATTGTTTTTAGAAAATAGAATCAAGGAAGTCCTTATTTTGGGTGATCCCCAATTTTGAGAGGGAAAAAAAAAACAGACTAGTTTTAACTGAATTTTTTGAAACAATTCTTAAAATCTATCAACTAAACAGATTTTGTACAGTTTTCTGATTTTCAGTTCCTATAAGTTAGAAAATTGCTCTCAAAAAATTAACTGAACTTACTTTTTGGTGATCCATATTACAACAAACCGTCACAAACCAAGAAATATTCACGAAACATGACAAAAACAAACCACACAAGACACAAATTTAACGTGATTCGACACAAGTTGTACTTAAGTGAAGATCCTACGAAAAATTTCACTATATGCAAAAATCAGGAGATTACAAATTTCAAATTTCAGTCCCCAAATCTCAACTCTCCCTCTCTTTGTGTGATTTTCAGTGTTTTCTTTAATCCTGCTCCAAATTTTACACGCCACTATATACCGAATTACAAATAAATACTAAATAGGTCCACAACCCATAAGAGAAAAACTAATCTAAGTGTCACAATTCGGGCCACGTCAGAATCCCCATTTTTTGAAGCCCTACCATTTTTTCCAACCCAATTTACAACCCATCTCGAAAAAAACAAAAAAAAAGCTTGCAAGTTTTCATTTCTTCAAATCAACAATAAAGTAATGGGTAAAAATAGAAAATCATAAATGGCGCCTGAGCAGTTACTTCTATCAACTTGGCAATCTTTTGCTTCTTTATCTCCATTCTTAGCTGCACTCTTCAAAATTCTCTTTTCTTAGCTAGAATAATAGTCATACAAATTGCGCCGCGGAGCACCTTTTAGCGTGTGTGTGTAGATACAGGACCAATCTTTCATGCAAGAATGTATGTACCAATTAGGACCAGTTGCTGAATTTAATTTTATGGCTCACCCACCAAAAAGAAAAAAGAGAGAGAAGATGGGAATGCAGTTAAAGAGGCATGCTAGTGGACAACTATTTATTCACTGCACAAAATGTTACTGAATGATATATATAATAGTAAGAGAAATGATAGATACATGACATAAAATTTGGTCACATTTTTTACTTTTTAAGTTGTATTTTTAGAACTATACACCGACACCTTTTTAAGAATTAACTTAAAAAGTGTCGGTGTTCTAATATGAAAATGCTTTCTTTTACGTCTCCATCTGATGTAACTTCTGTTGCATTTAGTTGAGGCCGTCATTATAGGTTTATTTTTTTCATCAGAAGTATGGGAAGCTTCTGGTTTTTGTTGTTCCCTTGGTTCCATTCACACCTCACCCATGTGATTTTTACAGATAGGAACCGGTTTGTAAAAAGGTTGCTAAAATAGTCCCTCTTACATCCATCCATCTCTCTCTCTCTCTCTCTCTATGTCAAGTGGAGAACACACCCTTTATCTGCAAAAAAAAAAAAAAAAAAAAAAAAACCTTTAAAATTTTGATTTGGTGTAAATAAGTTCCTGACCAATTTAAACCATAAGTTGACTAAATTACCCTTACTGAATCATTTTATAAAATATATAAAATAAATAATTTTATAAAATGACCGAAAAAGACACTATTAGAGGATGTCCCTCATGTTCAAAAAAACATCCTTAAAGTTTCAATTTGGTTCAAATAAGCCCCTATGACAAATTTAAACTCTAAGTTGACTAAATTACCCTTACTGAATTATTTTATAAAATATATAAAATGACCGAAAATGACATTGTTGAAGGACGCCGGCAATGGACAAGTAAATATTAAAATAAAAAAAAAAGTATAAGAGAAAAGTAAAGATAAAAGTAGAAAATAAAAAACAAAAATAAAGTGCAAACTAAAGAAAATAAATATGCTCCAAACTTCGAAATATTGAGATTTTTATTTTTTTTATTTTATTTTTTAATAGTGTTGGTATGAAAAAAATAAAATAAAATAATGAAATAAAAATTTTAGTAGAAAATAGTACACTGAAATCTTCAAAAATTTAAATCCTTGTTATACAAATTCTCAAAGTTTAAAAAAAAAAGAAGTTTAGAGAATATAAGAAGAAAAAAGTTTCAGAAAAAATATGTAAGGTAATGTGCATATAATACTTCTATACTATAAGATTAGTAGCACATATATCCTCTTGTACATTTTCGAAAGAGTAAAAGGGCAAAACGGGTATTATAACACTAAATTTTGTTAGATTTCTGATTGAGGGGCATTTTTGCACAATGTAAAAATATTAGGGATATTTTTTTTACACTTTTTCAAATAGGGGGTAAAAATGTTACGCAAAGTATACTTTAGGGGTGTTTTATGCACTTGTCCATATATATATATATATAGTTTTCTGTATTACTTTTGTTTAAGCTACCCGTTAATCAAGTTGTTTATAAGCAAATAGACTCATGTTGCGTTTAGAAGTCACTTAATAGACGTTTTAAAATTGAAATTTTAGTAAATTTGGTTAAAAAACATTGATTCGATACTTTCAAACATAGCTTCAAATTTGTTGGTTGAAAAATGTCGTGAGTTACGTGATGTGGAAAGGTTGTTAAAGTTTAAACAAAACATAATACCGAGAGGGCCGAGTAAATGGGTTTAACTTGTACCTTTGTTCGATTTTTGACGTTATTTTAATTCAATCCAAATTAAAAGTAATCAATCACACAAAGTAGTAAATAAAAGTGTGATAAAGCAAGAGATTGGCACCACGATTTTAGTGTGCAAACCCAGAGGGAAAAAATTATGGAGACTTTGCCGTTTCAAGTGAAATAACCCACTATCTCGAAGCAAAGTTATACAAACTACGTCTCAAGCTCACACTCATTCCACTCAGGTAAGAACCAGTTGTTGAACGCCTTAGGGTTATGTTTGCGACTCCTCGTCCAATTGCTACATATTTCAGGCTTATTCCTCAATCCTTGAGAAAGGGTTGCTAGAACACAACTGCTCTATGAACAAATTATCTCCTTCGTGATGCCATTGAATCATCCTTCTTATACTCACAAAGACAAAAAGGAGAAAAAACAACTGTTGCTTTCTTATTGGAAATGAATACAATCTTCAATTTTGAATGCGGATCAAACTTAGAACACCATCCTCAAATCACTCGTGTAGAGTGTGTGCTCTTAGATAAAGAAAAGCACATAGAAAAATCTATGATAATTTTTATGTGAAAAATACTCTAAAAGTTTCTTTACTCAAAGATAAATGAGACTATGAGATTATATATATATATATATATATATAAAAGAGTCCTTGTCCTTAACTAGGTTAAAATGTAGGTTAAAAACAAATAAGGACATCTTTAGGAAGTTTGGTTCAAAATGAAAAGCAAAGTGCTACTCTGGACAAGTGCGATTGGTGGCACCTTGTAGAACTCTCTAACCGTAAATTAGTGCGACCGGTTGCCAAAAGTAAACCAGTGTAAGTTTGCAGGAATTGCATTTTTCGGTATAAACCTTGTTCTGCAATCCCAACCAAACTCAAACTTGATGTGTAAGTTGCCCTCACTTCACATACGTGTTTTAAGTGGTGTACTCGTCGAATTGAGAGTATGCTTGCACTTGCTGTTCAACTCTATGATCAAGACACAAAATAAAAACAAAATTATAATTTGATCGAATACGTTTCAACATCGAAATTCGCCAATCACAAAATTACGTACCAAACAAATACATTTATTTTGAGACTCGAAAAAATAATATTTCAACTTGATTTAATTTGTTGCATCCTCTATTAATGGAGGCAGCAACACGATTCCAATATGTACAACACACAACATCATAAAAATATATAGCAGATGATCCAAACTCGGTACTTATGATTAACCAAATAGTTGAACTTGATTGAAACTTTCTCAGAAACATCAAATTAGTTCTTATTTATTGTCACACATACTAAAAATCAAACAAATTAAAGGTGAAAAACTGTCTCAATCACATAGGGCTTTAAAGATATAATGTGTTGAACATGAATGTGTATAAACACACTACAACGCCAGAAAAACATACATAAAAGGATCTAAACTCTGCAATTATGGTAAATGAAATGGTTGAACTTGATCGGAATTGTCTCAAAAACATCAAATGAGTTCTTATTCATTGTCACACATAATAAAAACCGAATTAATAATAATAATAATAAAGCTTTCTCAATGATACAAGGCTATAAATTAGTCTCTTTCTGATAATTTTAAGAAGAGAGAGATATTAATCAGTGCATTAATTAGACATTTAAATATATTCAATTGAGCCAACAAGATTTGACATTCATTTTGAATCGGCTAAAGACATATAAAGCAGTGGTTGAATTGACAAATGAACAACAGTCTTAAATGATGTGCCATGATTTTTGTTGCTAATCTTGTTACTTAAAAATAAATAAAAAAATAAAAAATAAATAAAAATCGCACAATCCATTTAATATATTATGAGGCGTGTTAGTACTACTAAAACTATTTTTAATACACTTAGGCCGACCATTCCAAATAATTAAATACAATAAAAACTCATTACATGACTTGTGGTCTTCTTTGTTTATATTTGGCCCTACTATTCTTAAATATATTCTGAAATGTGTTAGTATTACTAAAACTTTTTTTTTTTTTTTTTTTCCTTGCATCCGCCTAT